ATATATTTACATGAACAATCAAAGTGTCGATAATGGCCAGAGCTACCTCAAATGCTTTAAATGCTACATTCCATTTTTTCTCAAAACATAATATGAAAAATTTCCAAGTTTTTACCAAGATTTTTTTTCTGGTATATAAAAACTTAAGAATGCAGATAGCTGACCTTTTTATTTGCTGGAACAATTGATGTTGTTGTTGGCTGCCAGGAAAAAAAAATTATTAGGAGAACTTTACTTTATTCTTCAAGTCAAAATATTAAGTTCTTTGTTAAATTATGTGAGAAGTCTTTGATTTATTTAGATTTCCTCGATTTAAGCTAAAGAAAATATTGTACAATAGTTTGTACGTACAAATCTCAAATTTATGTACTAGCAATTTATTTAATCTCGAACACAACTTTATCCAGTAATAAATTACTAAAATTAGCATGCTGAAAATCAAAAATATATTTACATGAACAATCAAAGTGTCGATAATGGCCAGAGCTACCTCAAATGCTTTAAATGCTACATTCTATTTTTTCTCAAAACATAATATGAAAAATTTCCAAGTTATCTCAGTTTACCAAGATTTTTTTTTTTCTAGTATATAAAAACTTAAGAATGCAGAAGACTGACCTATTTACTTGCCGGAACAATTGATGTTGTTGTTGGCTGCCAGGGAAAAAAAAATTATTAGGAGAACTTTACTTTATTCTTCATGTCAAAATAATAAGTTCTTTGTTAAATTATGTGACAAGTCTTTGATTTATTTAGATTTCCTCGATTTAAGCTAAAGAAAATATTGTACGATAATGCTGTCCAAATCTCAAATTTTTGTACTAGCAATTTATTTAATGTTAAACACAACTTTATCTAGCAATAAATTGCCAAAAATTAACATACTGAAAATCAAAGATATATTTGCATGAACAATCAAAGTGTCGAGAATGAACAGAGCTACGTCAAATGCTTGAAATTCTACATTCCATTTTTTCTCAAAACATAATATGAAAAATTTCCAAGTTGTCCCAGTTTACCAAGAATTTTTTTTCTAGTATATAAGAACTTAAGAATACAGAAAACTGACCTTTTTACTTGCTGGAGCAATTGATGTTGTAGTTGGCTGCCAAGAAAAAAAAAAAATTACAAAAAACTTTACTTTATTCTTCATGTCAAATTCATAAGTTCCTTTTTTTTTTTTTTAATTATGCGACAAGCCTTTGATTTAGGTTCCCTCAATATAAACCAAAGAAAATGTTGTATGATAGTTTGTGTTTACAAATATAAAATTTTAGTATGAACAATTTCTTTATGTCTAAATAAACTTTGTCTTGCAATGAATTGCCAAAATTAATATGCAGAAAAAGAAAGATATGTGTGCATGAACAAACAATGTGTCGAGAAAGGCTAGGGCTACCTCAAACGCTTTAAATGCTATGTTTTTACTGAAAATATAATATGAAAAATTTCCAAGTCTCCCGATGTTTTTAAGAATATAAAAACTTAACAATGCAGAAAATTGACCCGAGTACGAATTGATCCTTCCGGTGGACGCCAGGAAATGACTTCACCTTAGAAAAACTTTATCTTATTCTTCATGTAAAATTGGTAAGTTCTTTAATAAATTACGTGACGAGTATTAGATTTAGATTTCCTCAATGTAAGCTAAAAAAAAATGTTGAAGGATAGTTAGTTCGTACAAATCTCAAATTTTTATACTATCAATTTGTTTAGTGCAAAATACAACTTTTCTAACAATATAATGCAAAAAATAGCACGCTGAAAATCAAGAATATGTTTGCATGAACTATCAAAGCATCGAGAGTGGCCGGGCAACCTCAAATGCTTTAAATGCTACGTTCCATTTTTTTTTTAAATGCAATATGAAATATTTCCTCGTCGTCCCAATTTAGCAAGATTTTTTTAAGTATATAAAAACATAACAATGCAGAAAACAGACCTGAGGACGAATTGATCCCCCCGCACCCTGCACCAAAAAAAAAAATTTACGAAAACTTTACTTTATTCTTCATGTCAAATTCATAAGTTCTTTTTTTTTTTTTTTTTAATTATGTGACAAGCCTTTGATTTAGGTTTCCTCAATATAAACCAAAGAAAATGTTGTACGATAGTTTGTGTGTGCAAATATAAAATTTTGGTATCAGCAATTTCTTTAGTGTCTAAATAAACTGTCTTGCAATGAATTGCCAAAATTAATATGCCGAAAATGAGAGATATGTGTGCATGAACAATCAATGTGTCGAGAATGGCTAGGGCTACCTCATACGCTTTAAATGCTACATTTTTACTGAAAATTTAATATGAAAAATTTCCAAGTCGCCCGGATTTTAGCACAATGTTTTTAAGAATATAAAAACTTAACAATGCAAAAAATTGACCCAAGTACGAATTGATCCTTCCGATGGACGCCACGAAATGACTTCAACTTAGAAAAACTTTATCTTATTCTTCATGTAAAATTGGTAAGTTCTTTATTAAATTACGTGACGAGTATTAGATTTAGATTTCCTCGATGCAAGCTAAAGAAAATTTTGAAGGATAGTAAGTTCGTACAAATCTCAAATTTTTATATTATCAATTTATTTAGTGCAAAATACAACTTTATCTAGCAATGTATGGCCAAAAATAGCAAGCTGAAAATCAAGGATATGTTTGTATGAACAATCAAAGCGTCGACAATGGCCGGGCAACCTCAAATGCTTTAAAAGCTATGTTCTATTTTTTTGGAAAATGTAATATGAAATATTTCCTAGTCCTCTCAATTTAGCAAGATTTTCTTAAGTATACAAAAACATAACAATGCAGAAACAAACCTGACGACGAAGTGATACCCCCTCACCCTACACCAAAAAAAAAAAAAAAATTACAAAAAACTTTACTTTATTCTTCATGTCAAATTCATAAGTTCCTTTTTTTTTTTTTTTTTAATTATGCGACAAGCCTTTGATTTAGGTTCCCTCAATATAAACCAAAGAAAATGTTGTACGATAGTTTGTGTTTACAAATATAAAATTTTTGTATCAACAATTTCTTTATGTCTAAATAAACTTTGTCTTGCAATGAATTGTCAAAATTAATATGCAGAAAAAGAAAGATATGTGTGCATGAACAATCAATGTGTCGAGAAAGGCTAGGGCTACCTCAAACGCTTTAAATGCTACGTTTTTACTGAAAATATAATATGAAAAATTTCCAAGTCTCCCAATGTTTTTAAGAATATAAAAACTTAACAATGCAGAAAATTGACCCGAGTACGAATTGATCCTTCCGGTGGACGCCAGGAAATGACTTCACATTAGAAAAACTTTATCTTATTCTTCATGTAAAATTGGTAAGTTCTTTAATAAATTACGTGACGAGTATTAGATTTAGATTTCCTCAATGTAAGCTAAAAAAAATGTTGAAGGATAGTTAGTTCGTACAAATCTCAAATTTTTATACTATCAATTTGTTTAGTGCAAAATACAACTTTTCTAACAATATAATGCAAAAAATAGCACGCTGAAAATCAAGAATATGTTTGCATGAACTATCAAAGCATCGAGAGTGGCCGGGCAACCTCAGATGCTTTAAATGCTACGTTCCATTTTTTTTTTTTAAATGCAATATGAAATATTTCCTCGTCGTCCCAATTTAGCAAGATTTTTTTAAGTATATAAAAACATAACAATGCAGAAAACAGACCTGAGGACGAATTGATTCCCCCGCACCCTGCACCAAAAAAAAAAAATACGAAAACTTTACTTTGTTCTTCATGTCAAATTCATAAGTTCTTTTTTTTTTTTAATTATGTGACAAGCCTTTGATTTAGGTTTCCTCAATATAAACCAAAGAAAATGTTGTACGATAGTTTGTGTGTGCAAATATAAAATTTTTGTATCAGCAATTTCTTTAGTGTCTAAATAAACTGTCTTGCAATGAATTGCCAAAATTAATATGCAAAAAATTAGAGATATGTGTGCATGAACAATCAATGTGTCGAGAATGGCTAGGGCTACCTCAAACGCTTTAAATGCTACATTTTTACTGAAAATTTAATATGAAAAATTTCCAAGTTGCCCCGATTTTAGCACGATGTTTTTAAGAATATAAAAACTTAACAATGCAAAAAATTGACCCGAGAACGAATTGATCCTTCCGGTGGACGCCACTAAATGACTTCAACTTAGAAAAACTTTATCTTATTCTTCATGTAAAATTGGTAAGTTCTTTATTAAATTACGTGACGAGTATTAGATTTAGATTTCCTCGATGCAAGCTAAAGAAAATGTTGAAGGATAGTAAGTTCGTACAAATCTCAAATTTTTATATTATCAATTTATTTAGTGCAAAATACAACTTTATCTAGCAATATATTGCCGAAAATAGCACGCTGAAAATCAAGGATCTGTTTGCATGAACAATCAAAGTGTCGAGAATGGCGAGGGCAACCTCAAATGCTTTAAATGCTATATTCCATTTTTTTTTTTGAAAATGTATTATGAAATATTTCCTGGTTGTTCCAATTTAGCAAGATTTTTTTAAGTATATAAAAACATAACAATGTAGAAAATAGACTTGAATACGAACTGATGCTAGTGGTGCTTGCAGAAAAAAATTATTGCAAAATTTTTACTCTATTCTTCATGTCAAATTCATAAGTTCTTTTTTTAAACTATGTGACAAGTCTTTTTATTTAGGTTTCCTCAATATAAGCCAAAGAAAATGTTTTACGATAGCTTGAGTGTGCAAATATAAAATTTTTGTATTGATAATTTCTTTAGTACCTAAATAAACTGTCTTTCAATGAATTACCAAAATTAACATGCAGAAAATCAAAGATATATGTGCATGAAAAATCAATGGGTCGAGAACAGCCAGGGCTACCTCAAACGCTTTAAATGCTACATTCGATTTTTACTAAAAATATAATATGAAAAATTTCTAAGTCGTCCCAATTATTAAGATGTTTTTAAATATATATAAGCTTAACAATGCAGAAAACTAAACTGAATACGAATTGATCCTTCCGGTGGCAGCCAGGAAAAGAAATATATGAAAAACTTCACTTTATTCTTCATGTAAAATTGGTAAGTTGTTTGTTAAATTATGTGACAAGTTTTAGATTTAGATTTCCTCAGTATAAGCTAAAGAAAATGTTATATGATAGTTAGTGTGTACAAATCTAAAATTTTTGTATTAGCAATTTATTTAATGTCTAACACAACTTTGTCTAGCAATAAATTGCCGAAAATAGCAAGCTGAAAATCAAGGATATGTTTGCATGAACAATCAAAGAGTCATGAACGGCCAAGGCAACCTCAAATGCTTTAAATGCTACATTCCATTTTTTCTGAAAATTAATACTAAAAATTTCCAAGTCATCATAGTTTAGTAAG